TTAGTTGCCTGTAGATTTTTCATGAGGAAATGTGTTTCTCTTGGGTGACTATCTAGGAGTGGAATTGTTGGGCCATACTGTTAAGTGTGTTTTTATAAGAAACAGCCAGAATGGTTTCTGAGGTGACTGTACCATTTTACATACCTATTAGCAATATATGAGAGTATCAGTTGCTCCACATCCTGGCCAAAACTTGGTATTATCATTCTCTTTGATTATATTTCATTGTGTTCTTAATTTGCATTTTTCTGATGACTAATGATGTTAGTCACATTTTCTTGTATATTTGGCCATTCATATATCTGCATATGTAGTTGCTTTTTTGGTCTGGCTCCCTAGAGTCTCCGCTGTGCCTGAAAATGTTAGTGGTCCGCCAAGACTGAGTAGAGGTTATACTCGGGTTTAAGTGTTCATCCTCTTTGTGGTTCTCTTGCTTCTGGAGTTTTGCCCCTAAATTTCTAGCTGTTTTGCCAGCCCCAATGTTTGTCTTCTGACACTTAAAGCTTAGTAAGACTTAAGCTGTGTAGCATTCTACTGTATACACATTGGGGAATGCACTAAATCAAAAAAGCAGCAAACTCACCAGTCTCACCTAGTGCACTTACGTCTTTAAGGATGGACACCTCACCAGTTTTTGCTTTTTCACTGGGGCCCCCTTAGACTCCCCTAAATATGCATAGTTAGCGTATGTATGTATACATAGCATATATAGTAGCACATAGGAATTTGTGCTGAGTTTTGGCTCAGATTTTGGGTGACAGCTTTTCTGTAGCTCTTTCATTTCCAGGATTTTTCTCCTAAATTTCCAGCTGCTGTACTGGCCTTGAATTCTATCTTCTGTTATCTATAGCCAGTGAGACTAGAGTTTTCTGCTGCTGTAGCTGCCACGTTTGGGGAGTGCCCTCAGGCAAAAAAGCTACTAACTTATAATTCTTAACCTTTGCAGTTGCTGCTTTTCATGGATAAATGTTCCTCTTTTTCTGCCTACTTTTGGTCACTTTACAGTGCCTTCAAATAGTTATATTTTTGTATTTTGTCTACATTTTATGATAATATGTAAGATTTGTGTGATAAATTCACTCTGCATTACTCCATGTATTTGTTTTTATGAGTACTTTTAGAGATTGATATGAAAATATTTGCAGATGAAAGATAAGAAATTTGAGATTTGCTTTAAAATCTAGGGAGTGGATGGAAGGAAAATTGACAATGTGATTGGCTGTAAGTTAATCATTTTTAAAGCTGAATGATGAGTACCTAGTGGTTTATTATAATATTCTCCTCAGTTTTTAGTTATGTTTCAAATTCCCTATGATAAAGATTTTAAAATTAGGTAGTCTATGCAATCTCATAAAAATGTGAATATATAATAATAAATCTTAAAGTGTTGAGGGAAATTAACCAAGATCTAAATAAATGGCAGGGCATACCATGTTCATAGTTTGGGAGACTCTACTGTAAATATGTCAAGTCTCCTTATCCAATCTGTTGATTCAATGAAATCTCTATAAAAATCCCAAAAGTTTTCATTTTGGATATTGATAAGTTGAGGTAGAATCCACAAAGAAAAGCATTGACATGCTTTTAGGGAAGGAGGTGGTTGTATTTGAGCATATTTACCTAATCAAATGATACCATAAAGAGAGTGAAAAGCCAATCCCCGGATTAGGAGAAGATATTTGTAACACTTAAAACCTACAAAGGGCTCATATTCACAGTATATAAAGAATTCCTACTAGCCAATTAGCAAAGGATTGACAATGCAGTAAAAGACAACCAAGAGACTTAACTAGCACTTTATGAAAGAGGACAACCAAATGGCCAATAAACATGTGAAAAGGTGCTCAAACTTACTGGAAAAAGCAGATTAAAACCACAATGAACTTCTACTGTATACCAATTTATATGACTAAAATTAAATCATCTGACAGTACCAAGTGTTTAGAAGAATGTAGAGCAACGTTGGACTCTTACGGATTTGTCAGTGTAAGCATGAATTGGTACGAGTACTTTGGAAAATAACTTTAGTTGATAAACCAACGTCCTATGACCTAGCAATCTTATGAGTTAACATATCCAACAATGTGTGCAACAATATATAAGAATCAGCAGTAGACTGGATAAATAGTAGTACATTCCTACAGTGTTATACAGCATTGAAAATCAGTGACTCAAAACTGTGAATCAGTGTGGTTGAATCTCACAGATATAATATGAGTGAAATAAACCAGATAGAAAAAATACTTAAAATAGTCTGATTATAGTATAAAGTTTTGTGTTTCCTTTCTAAATGTACCATGTTTATGGAATACATGTTTGTATGATAAAATGATAAAGAAAAAGTAATGATTACTGTAAAAGTCAAGGTAGCACCTGCTGCTAGTGTTTTGTTTCTTAGCCTAGGAGGTGATTTCATGAGTCTTCACTTTGTAATCATTTAACTTAAGTTTTGCTTTGTGCACTTTTTGTTATGTGTTACATATTTTAACAAAAAGGGGTGCCATGGCTAAAAGAGGAGAAAATAAACACGTTAGTAAATTTTCAGGAGACCTGATTTCTAATTTCAAGTCTGACAGCAATTAGCTATGTCACAGGGTCAAGTCACCTCATCTCTTTTTATTTTTATTCATACCTCTAAAAGGAGGGAGTTGCACCAAGTGATTGCCAGTGCCTTTTTACAAAATTAAATCAGCTTTATGGAGGTCTAATTTACGAACACCAAGGCACTTAAGTACCAACAATTTACGGTGAAATTTAAAAAACTATCAGT